GCAATTTAATTTTCAAGGTGCAGTTAATATCTTATTAAATCACTTTTAAAGGCATTTACACTGAGTCTAAAAAATTCTGTTTGCTTTGTCGACTCTCATTCCTCTGCTTTGTTGTTCTAGTAGAGTGTTATTGTTTGTGTTTGTGTTTTGTCTCTCATAGGGTTGGTTTTCCTTGAATGTCTGGTAATTCTAGGTTGGCTGTTCATTTTTATACTTGACGGTCCCTGTAGTCCTGCCATTTCAACTCATTATACCCAGTTCCATTGATCGTATCAGGAGACAAGGTGTGTTGCTAGTAAGAACACATTAGTAGCTTGTCAGTCCTTTAGGCATTTGTAGTGACCAGCCCTTGCCTCACTGGGTTTAGTACCTCCTACACACACTGCTTTAACCTGTGTTCCAGTAATAGCTATACCCTATTTACCCTGCAAGGGAGGTGCCATTGTTCAGCTGCTCCATTCATAATTCCCTATTTAACATTTGCCCCAGGCAGGCCTACCTCCTGTGCTTGGTTTCTACTGACTCTAAAATTGAAGTGCCTTTGGAGTTTCTCCCATATCTGTGTAAGTCTTCTGAATATGATTGGGCTGTGATTTCTTCTAACCATTTTTTCCATAGATTTGAACCTGTATGCTTGCTATTTTTTAAGAATTTCTCAACATTTCTGGTCTATTCATGTTGGTACAATTTCAGACATTGGGCTCCATATGGAAAAGAATTTCCAGATGAGATTTCCGCAGAGGAGAAAAGTTAAACCCTTATTAAAAGATCTTCTCTGGGAATATTAATACAGTCCTTTCTGAAAGTAGGGGATGCATTGAATACCTTGTCAGTCCTTTTTATTTTTTCCAATTCTTGACCTAATTGATTTTCTCTCATAGGGCATGTAAAGTTCTTCCCTGAATTATTTAAAATCTGACTTAAGCAAACAGCCAAAATAATCTAAAAAGTCCTATATCTGTGGAATTTTTAAGTAAAGTCAGTAAAGATAAGAATAAGTTCTCATAATATGCCCTTGACACCACATACTGAATAGTCCCCTACTTCACCCCACATCACCTCTACAGCTGGTCTTCTAATCTCCATCATTCAAATGAAATGGCCATAGGAGGCTTCTTTTCTGAAAGGAGACTTCACTTTAGAAGGAACAACATAATATTTGTGTTAACTTTCAAAGTCCTTTTTATTCACTTGTTTAGGAAATATTCATTGAACACTAACTGTTAACCCCCAAATTTCAGCATCTTAAAACAATAAAAATATATTTTGTATAAGACAAGTTATCAGGAAAGCATTTCTGTTCCTTGTAGAAATTCAGTGGCCCAGATTTCTTTTATCTTGTGGTTCACCATCCGTAGGTCTGCTGTTCAGCCAATGAATGGGGAAAGAAAATGAGGATTACATGGGAGTTTTTTATAAGCCAGGTATGGAAACATGATACCCATCACATATTCCATTGGATTGAACTCAGTAAATAGCCCCACTTAACTTCAAGGAGATAAGAACATGTAGTCTGGCTAAACACTCATGAAAAAGAGAATACTAACAATTTCTGTCACTTATACTAATGTGCTCAGCTCTCAAGGAGATGGATATTTCTGTAATGAAGGAATAAAGTATAAACATTTCATAAGGAAGGTATTGAAGTGCCTACGAAGCAAGGAGGGAGCAGTCAGATCCACTTGGGGACATAGGGCATTGATCAGCGAAGGTTTCAAAGAAGAGCATGCCATTTGAACTAAAACTTTCTGGTGAAATTTTCTCAGTGAAAAAGTGAGGTAGGGACCCCAGTAAGAACAAAGGCATGATAATACTAACAAAAGGCAGGATGGCCCAGCAAGGCCATGTATCCTTGAAGTAATGAAAGAAGAGTGGTGAGTGATGAAGCTGGAAGTTACATTGAAGTCAGACTGAGAGGGGCTTTAGATGGCATCTAAAGAGTTTGGATTTGATAAAGATGTGGCTGGTTAGCTGTTGTTGTTTTTTAAAGGAGAGACTGTAACAGGATAAAACTGAGGTAACTATTAAATTTGGCAATTGCAGAGTTTTTAGGGCCTCTGGCAAAAGCTGTGAGGACAAAGTCTGTTTGGAAACAAGAAGAGGCAGTAACTTGTTTGAAAGAAGAGTTAATATTGTACAGGATTTGTGAGCCTTGAATGTATTTATAGTCTAAGCATAGACAAGAGTGAGTGAATCTTAAGAGGCAGAAAGAACCCTAAAGGAAATGGAAAGGAATAGATTCTAAAGCACAGGAGAATGGTTTACTTTCCATTCAAGGCAAAAAAGAAGTAAGGGTTGATTAAGATATAGAGGTGAATGGGTGTGAGGCTGAAAAAAAATTAGTGACTTGGGGGAGCTGGTATGAGGTTACTGGCACTTGTAGTAAAGAAAGCATTATAAATTGTAGGAAATGAGCATGTAAACCAACCAGGGGTGCTGACTAAGGAGGAACAACAAGGAAGGATCCATGTTAATTTCTAAATCATTGGTAAAAGCAGTAACATTTATATACCATTTTGTAAGCTGCCTCTGCAGCAAAAATAGGAAAAATTGGTCAGATGTATTGGTAACAGCTTGGCAAAACAACAAAGGTATCAGGAAAATAAGGGCGTTATGAACATGGAAGTGAAATGGTTGCCTTGGGCCAGGGAAAGAAGCAAATCCCAGAGGGTACTATTAGCCTGGGGGTGGGGGTGGGTTGGAAGAGCCAAGGGATTGGAAGTTGTGAACAAGGTTAGTGGAAGATGTAAGTACTTTTGGTAAATGTAAAATCCAAAGGGAATGATCAGGAATCATAAAAATAAAAAAAGATAGGTCTTACCACTTTAGTATCATTTTTTTGGTTCATCTAATGAGATTAGTATCATCATTTATAAAATGGGATTGCCGCCTTTTAGAGAATATTAAAAAAATTACGATAAACTAAATCATGTATGAATGACCATACATTTGTTCCTAATCCCATTTAAATAATAATATAATAAAGCAGACATAAAGAAAAAGATGTTTCTTCCCAAGTCCCTTAATAATCAATGAGTTTATCCTAATGTCTCTATTTGAATAAATAAATTTTCCTCAAATGAATTTATTTAGATTCTTTGTAGAAAACGCACTGATTATTAATAAAATTCTCAAATGTGTGCTTTTTAAATTAATTACCTATGCAATTTTGATATAATTCAAAGTTATTTATATAAACATACACATATGCACATACTTGGGAATCTTGATTGACAGCATGAAGTTCAATTACATAAAATATTTAACCACAGCACAAGAGCCATTTGCAGTTTTAAAAAAAACATCTAAAACAATATTCCAATGAATTGTCCATGTATAACAACAAATCAGTGAGAAAGGACAAACCGGCATAGTGAAATAGATAAATCAGATTTAGGCAGGGTAGTTTATTGAATTTAAATTGTGCCCAGTTGGCCCAAGAGCTATATATAAGCAATCCATCTTACATTGTTAATGGAGGTTCTTGAAATCCACCTGATGTTTGCATTATTAAATTTCAGTTTAATGAGCTCCGCTAATACATATTGAAGATGGTTGTAAGGAGTAGAATGTGAATCTGAGCGGGATAATTTGAAAGAAACATAAGCTGAGCATTTTACATGACTCAAGGGGTATATCTACAATTACACATATAACCAAAATTGAATTTAAATGGAATTTCTATTATCCTTGTCCTTCTACTAGGGAGAATAAAGTGTAAATGAAGTAAAAGTCTTTAGAGTTACTGGTGGTTTGTTTTTATTATCTAATTTAATAGATTCTTGCAGTGATACAGAGTGGCATAAAAGTTTTAATATTTCATGACTTTAAATGCAGCCTAAGTATGTATTAAAGCTTGTAAATGGAAACAGATGTCTGTGTAATTGGATATAGCACTTCACAACACCATTATATAAGTTTTATATTTTAAGAAAGTGTCGATATTAATGGTGAAGAAAAATAAACTTTGAAGAAAAATAGTTATGTATGTGATGTGTATTTTCTTTAAATTCCCCCTTTAAGCCAGGTTTTATACTTCTGAAGGATATGTTGATTTTGCATAGGAAAAAGATATGCAGCAAAAACTGAAGAGCAAGTGTGTTTATTTTTTAAATCACAGTTTACATTACTGTTATTATTATAATAAAGGCTCATCCAAAGTTTAATGCTGGCACAGTTTGATTCTTTTTCTTTTGACAAGGCAATACTTTTTTAACTTAATATTTCATCAACTATAATGCTATTAGAGACTTATTTTCACTTAGTTCACTCATCAGGCAGTGAGACGGCAATAAAGGAGAATCGCTCCTTTGAGACGTTAATGCTTTGGAATAAATGATGTGCTAGAACAGAAATTTAATTAATTTACAGAGTATATTGATAGTCCCTTGTTACTGTGCTGTATATTTTTAATCTTCTTTAACATCTGTAGTAAAGTGTTTGAAAACCCCTGCAGTTGAGCAACTAGTAGATAATTAAGTAATAAGGGAAGAGGTTTCTAGAGGGAAAAAGATTCTTTTTACCAAATGCTGTCATAACATGAATAAAGAACTGCTACTATGATATGCAATGGGGAAAAAAATAATATGCTACCTAATTTGATACTGTTCCAAAGATATTGTAAGCTTCTCATATTTAAAATGTGAATTGTAGCTTAAGAATTTTTCTCTGAAGTTTAAAACAGACGCACTGTACTGACAAATCAGATGACCAAAAGCTTTCCCCAGTTCATATGCCATTGTTTAAACTTATGCTGCTTAAATTCATTTGCCTTTTTGTACAGAAATTAGCTTGAACTAAGCTTCAAAGTTTTGAAATAAATATTCTAAAATTCTGAATAAGTTTTGTAAATGGTGTATTTCAGATTTTCAGCCCGCTTGTTGTTTTCTTCTGACAACTTCACAAAAAATATATAAGGAATTTTTTTTCCCTTTCCCCAATATTTTCACTTATGATACAGACATAAAATAAGTGCAGAAATTTTATTGTTTTTATTTCAGCAAAAGCTGATGAAGCATTGAAAGCCAAAGAAAGAAATGAAGAAGAAGCAAAGAGAAGAAAGGAGGAAGGTAAAGGCATATGTTCATTTTGTGTTGAAGCATTCATTATAATGAGGGATCGCTACTGGGCATGTTTTTCTTCATTTATTTAAGAATAAACCGCCCTAGCTGGTTTGGCTCAGTGGATAGAGCATTGGCCTGCTGACTGAAGGGTCTTGGGTTCGATCCCAGTCAAGGGCACATGCCTGGGTTGCAGGCTCGATTCCCAGTAGGGGGCGAGCAGGAGGCAGCCAGTCAATGATTCTCTCTCATCATTGATGTTTCTATCTGTCTCTCCCTCTCCCTTCCTCTCTGAAATCAATAAAAATATGTTTTAAAAAAAAAGAATAAACCATAAAATTTAATGAAATTAGGAGTACCTCATGCTACTGCATGAGCCTAAACTATGACACAATATCACACTATACTCAATATCTTAGACACTAATTATTGTTTGTTAACATAAATGTTAGTTTATTAGCGTCCTAATATATATTCTGGGGAAACTAGGAAGATATAAAGTTATAAAGTAGAGCTGGTGTTGGCTTGTTTCCTTCTGACTTTTATATTTATACTTAACAAATCATCAAAACCAGTCATAGAAATGGATCAAACTTATCTGTACGTTTTGATGTTTTGCCAGTGATGAAGAAAAGTCCCCATGACAAACAAACAAACAAACAAACAAAAAAACACTTTAAATAGAAAAGCTCTTAAGAGGAAACAATAAATTTATGAAATGTCAGAAATAGTCATAGTACAAATTAAGAAATTCGTGTCATAGTTTTTTAGATTAAATATTTTCTTTTAATTATATTGAAATCACCATCCAAAGGTACTATGCAAAGAAATCTAACTCATTTTTATCTCCCCTAAAAATTTTTATTTCCCCTTTAGTTTGCTGTGACTTATGTAAGTGAAAATGTTGCGTTCTTTTCTTCACATAGGCTTTATAGATAACTGTTCTAAATTACAGTGCTTAAAGCAAGATCCAGGCAACGCTTTCCCTGTGAGTTAAGTTGATTCACTTGGACTGCAATCATGTCTCTTTACTGGCTAATTAGCAGAGTAACTATTTCCTCTGTGAGCTTTCAAGAAGTTGAAGCCTGATAATGTGTTTTGAATATTGGCTTTGAGTGCCATTTCTAAATCTGAAAATTGAAATTTTTGCCATAATACATATCTTTTTGTATTATGCCAGAAACATTTTTTAATTCCCAACTTTCAAATGTGAGCTGAGAACCAATAAAACCTAAAATGTTTGAGTATGATGGGTTAGAATGATTAAAAGCAGTATTCCATGAGAGCCATGCCCCAAAAGCAAATCAACAAATCAAAAAAAGGAAGAAGATAACATAACCAATCTGTGTAGATTTAAGTGGCAGAACCCAACAAATAAGTAGATTCAAACTACATGTGGACTATTTTATATATATAAATGTGCAGTATTCTTATCTTATTTGACCCCCATAAGTCGTGGCTTTATGTTCTTGTCCTAGATCAACTAATTTTATGGTTTAGAAAACAAGTGAATTCCAATGGCAAAAATCCTAAGTAGAAAACTCTTCTTTTGACTTGCTGAGTGTACATTTTGACACTGTTAGTGGAAGCAATCTATCTGTTTTCAGTTATGCTTATGGTCACCCATAGTACAAATAGATATACTACTAGATGCAAAATAGTCCAAGAAAATTAGAATATTTGAGTGCTCCAATAATATGTGGTATTCTGATCAATGAAACTAACTAATAACATAATAGCCCTTATAAAACACTGTGGTACTGTAAATTACAAGTGTGGTACTTATTACCAACCAACATAGTGAATATATCTTTCAGTAGTTATTAGTCTAATCCCATTAATTCAAATCTTAATTGGAGTTATAATCAGTTGGAAAAGGATGGTACTGTGATTATTTTGAAATATATATATGAACACATGCCCTAGTGAAAGAAACGTTTCAAACACTTCAAAATCCCTCATTTATGCAAAGAAATCTAACAAAGTTTTAATGGTGACATTGATATTTCTAATAGTCTCTTTTTTTTCATTAAATTAGTTCAATCTTTAAAAGGATATTTTGTTAAGGCTTTTTTAAGTACAGTAATTGGAAATACTTGAATGTTGTATTTTAATTCTTTTGAAAGTATTTTTTCACATAGACTTTCACTAAGTCATACAGACCTTGCTCTTAGTCTGTCATCTGAGAGTTATTGAAAAAGCACATCCTCCAATCATAGCTGTTTCAAGTCTCTTTATCCTAACTAGTGTGGACTTTAGGATTATATAGGATTTAGTATCCACAATGCCTAGCACATAGTAGATACTCAGTTTCTTGTTTATTGCATGAATGAATAAATGATCAGTTCACTCTTCATTCTTTAAATCCATGCTTATATAAATTATCTTGAGCTTGTAGTTTATTCCAAATAACCTGGTTGAGAGTGTAACCCAACTCTGTTATGTCCCTTTTCTAAGACAGGACCTCACTCACTTAGTCTATTTCTCAAAAGAATTACAGCCATTCAAAAAGAAACCAGTGAATTTCAAAATACTATCAATGTTTGCTAGTATGAATTTATCAAGTCTTTATCTGAGCTCACTGAATTTTCTGTGCATACAAAAAACATAAGAAAATTAGTACTACAAATGTTGAAGGAAAATTCTGGTAAAATAACATGACAATAATTTTAAAAGATAAAATATGTGTTTCATTCAATAGTTTTCCTTTGCTTATACTTTGTAGGTAAAAGAAAAAGTAAATCACTGGCTACATTCTTTTTTTTAAAATATATTTTATTGATATTTTTACAGAGAGGAAGGGAGAGAGATAGAGAGTTAGAAACATCGGTGAGAGAGAAACATCGATCAGCTGCCTCCTGCACACCCCCTACTGGGGATGTGCCCCACAACCAAGGTACATGCCCTTGACCAGAATCAAACCTGGGACCCTTCAGTCGGCAAGCCGACGCTCTATATCAGGGGTCCTCAAACTTTTTAAACGGGGCCAGTTCACTGTCCCTCAGACCGTTGGAGGGCCGGACTATAGTTTAAAAAAAAAACTATGAACAAATTCCTATGCACACAGCAGCGGCAAAAACACCCGGCGGGCCGTAGTTTGAGGACCCCTGCTCTATATCCACTGAGCTAAACCAGTGAGGGCACTGGCTACATTCTTTGTTGTTGTTGTTGTTTGCTTTCAAAATTTTTTCTTATCGGTTGCCTAGAGGCTTGAATGCTATCAAGTTGATCTTTCTGAAAATGATTAATGTATAAACTACATTTATTTTCCTTCTATAATTAACCTAGCTGCAATTAAAATCTGAGCTAATCTATATGTGTATGTGTATATATTTCTGTATCTGAAAGAATAATAATCTTTAATTTCCAATCTATAAGCCACTAGTAATTCACGCTATCATATCATTAATACAGTTCATCTCTTAATTTCTCAGTATGCTAATATACAGCCAGGATTGAAAGCATTGTTAAAATGTAGATAGATGTTATCTACCCAGCTCCGTTTATCCACTCTCTGTTATCTCAAAAGAGCTACTATTTTAGTACAGCAAGATCTGTGCCTTTCAAATACAATCTATTATGCAACCCTTTTCTTTGAATGTTCTTAAATCCATATCATAATTATATTTGCAAGTATTGTATCCAAGATCAAAGTCAGGCTACTCACCAAAACTTGTCCAGGGTAACTACTTTGCCTTCTACCCTTTAAACGGTGGATCCCCATTTAGAGTGCTTTTCATGGTCGTTGTACAGCTCAATAGATTGTCCTGAACATCACCAGTACATTAGAATGGACCCTCTTTCTTGAACCATTTACTCTCTATCTCTTTCCATATTATCTGTATTATGTAAAGGGTACATTATTTAGTAGTAAAAGTCAACTGAATATTTAAAGTTTAGGTTTATAGTTTCCTTCTTTAAAACTAAGCACTGTTTTCTAATTCTACATTATATTTTAGGAAAAATGAATAGTATTAAATCTTTCTTATTCTTTGACCTACTAAATACTTGAGTTCTGCTTTCACTTTTTTCTCTGTATGTGTTTGAAAATGTTCAGACTACATAAAATTAACAATCATTTCAACCCTTTTGATTTATTTTTGTATTATAAATGCTTTAGCATAACTTTAGATTTTCTGTATTTTATTTTTATATCATTGTATGCATTTAAGCATTCTAATTATGTTTTTAATCCAGTTATAAGCATAATAGTCTTTTTTGCATTTTAATTTCTAATATGAATTTATATGTGGCATAAGTATAGTAGCTTTTTCATTCTTTCTCCCCTTGTGTTTATTCACAATAGCTCTGCCCATCTGTTAGTTTCCTATTTCAAATATTTTTGTTTCCAAAAGTATTAGGCAACCCATTCTAAATTATGAAGGCAACAGTGGACAGTGATAATAGGAACATAATATGAGGTAGTTCAAGTTTCATTTGTTTCAATTGAAATTCATCAATCCTTTTGCCACATCCTATCCACAAGAGGGAAAATAGATTAGCCTTAATTTTATCTTTGTTGTTGTTAATCCCTTGGCCAAGATGAAGGTAAAAGTACCATTAGCTAAAAGGAAAAACAGGTGCCAGGCAGTGTTCTAAGTACTTTACATATTTTAACTCTCTTAATCCTCATGAACTCTCTGAGGTTTGTGCTGTATTATCTCTGTACTATAGGGAGGATAGGAAACTAAGGTACGGAGTTTCCTATCCTTGTATAGCTTGCTCTATAGCTAATAAGTGGTGAAGCCAGTACCCACACCCAGGCAGTATGACTCCAGTACATATTCCCCTTCTTTAAACAGTCTACACAAATCACAACCTTTACCATTAGTGTTCAAATAAATATGATTCAACTCGGTCTCCTCTATCCTTTGCCTTCTTCTCTGGATCTTGCCCTTTAGCTCTTAAGCATTTGTTTACTTTATTTTCTTGTCCTGAGATCTGTACCCATATTAGGTTGACTCACTTGGGTTTCTGGGGCACCCAACAAGTGAGGTACTCCAGTAGAT